AGTTCTGCAAAAAATTAAAAAAAATATGTAAGAGGCAAATTGATAATCTAATGAAATTTAGATTGTGAAATTGTGAAAGAAAGAATAAAACTAACATCGAAAAAAAGGACGAAAAATTTGAACAGGGAACTTTTTCACAAAAGGATAAGCAAAATCTGGAATTCCTACTTCTTCTCAAAACGAATTCGACACCGAATGCGGCCACCGTAATTAACATATAATTCGGTAACTGTGCCCCTAAAAGTGCAAACGTAGATTATAAAAGAGGCAGTGCCCTCACTTAGTAGCTATATGAGGAGTTAGAAAGGGGTAGACATTATTTAAAATTACAAAAATAAATTTAAATAAAGTAAAAATGAATAGGTTTGGAAATATAAAGCAGCAAAATGATACATCGAACAAGATAATTACCAGATCACTATATAAAAATTAGACCACCTAAACCAGCCTAATTGTAATAATTTATGTGTAATTAATTAAATCAGAGTTGAACAAAGATAGTCAGAGGAAAATGGTTTATTATAGCGTATCAATAAATAAAAAGATAAAAATGCTTAGTGTGTACAAAGGTCTCGCAATATTAGCATAACTAGCTGGGCTTTTTTTTTATAAACTTAATTAAACTGCTAATAGCCAGATCTATCATACATAGAGCATTCTTAAAAAGAATTCAGTAAAAGGGAAATACCCAAACGAAAAGATTCATATAGAAATGTAAGTTTACTAAGAATTGAAATTGTAATATTGATACCAACATTCTTCGAATGAGTTTCATTCGTGGCTTGTCAGTTAACATAAGGATTAAAAATCAAAATTCACTTAATCAGCTCATACAAATAATATAATATAAAGAGTAAGGGTGCTATTAAATAGATTACATGTCAAAATCTTTATTATACCTTGATCTTGTTATAAAGCATTGAGTAAGAACCAGTAGAGACGTTTACAAACTATTTAACCATATAATTAGAAAAGCAGTAACCTCTACGGCAAAGATAGTAAACAACATTTTAGTTGGGGAATTTTCAGGGATTTATTCAGGGTACAACAACCAATATGTAAGAGATGAGATAATTCATATGAATCTAATAGTCGAAGCTGACGCCAGAGCAAATTCCAAAAAATAAATAATTTGATAAAAATAAGAAGAAATTAACGAAGGTTATACCTAGGTAAATGATAATGCTATCAAGTAGGATGTAAAATTAATGTTCTATACTCAAAAACCCTTAAAAAGAGCGAATAAATACCAATTATTTCGAGATATACACATTTAGTATACATAAACCAGTACTAAAATAGCTAATTTAAGAAGATAAATAGCCTGCTGTTGTGTGTTGAGATAAAAACATAAGAATATATTATTAATTTTAATTTTTTTAAAAATAAATATGTTGAGAGCTTTTATGTCAAGTAAAAATACTATCAATGCATCAATGAGAAAAATAAGAATAGTTACTGCTAGATAAATATCAGGGAAAGTATTAGTACAATAAAGCACAAATAAAACCTAGCAAGAAACTATTTAATACCTAGAAAGGCGAAGGTCCTCAAGTTTGACATCGATCCGCTCCACCATGACGGATACCGAGTCAACCAACTTGGTCTGGATGCTCTTAACTGAGCAAAAACTGCTGCCACTTAGAGGGAACTCAGACACAATGAAGGAATTACTGATGCCCAGATGGCCTAAATCAAACATCAAAGCATTGGGTGAGGTTGAGTGTTGCGGCATGAATATGACTGGTGCGTTAACGTCAATGTTGAGAGCAATCCGCTTGGCAGTAGGTGTTTGCACAGCCTGCTGCATCTGTAAACACAAAATAAAAAAATCTTAATAAAAAGAGCAAAAATCATGTTTAATCGCTTCATTAGTTTATATTGTATAAAGTATGGGAAATTGTCAGAGTAACTAAGCCACTAAAATAATGAAAGGAGAAAAAATAATTATCGCCTTAACGGGATTAAAAGTCAACTCATCCCCTAGTTTTACCGATTAAAAAGTTGGTTTACAATTTTGGGAATGCAAGGCGAATGGTATAGTAATATACTGGAGACATTGACGTGCAAAGCATATGTCCCTTAGATATGTATGTCTTCAATCTGACAGCTAATTAAAAGATAAGGAAAAGTAAAATTTTTACTTCAGATTTGTAAGCTAGCATTATTTTTTTCCTTAACATATAGTAACGAGAAACATGAGTAGATTTACCAGATGGCCAAAAATACTATCGAATGCAACTCTATCTATTTGAGCATATGGGATATCAAAAGAGTAATTTAAGTGCTAGTCAGTGCACCGAGCTCGTTGTTGAACCAATCAGAACGTTGCATCAAAAGTACAAATATTTTAAGTCAGAAACTCTCTAGACTGAGATTCCCAGCCCCGTCACTGGCATGGTGCAGTCGTTGCCCTCTGTGATCTAAGACTAGCATTTTGCACAAACACCACACTCCGCCATTTTTTGTGTTTTCCCACATCGAATCCTCGCGTGTAACTTTTCTTCTTCCATACAAGCACTCCGTGACTCGTTTACTTGTCCCCCCATACAAGGCTGAGCGCAAAGCCAAGCACAGATTTAAAATGAATATTTTAGATTAAATAGCAAGTAAATAATCCTAGATATGAAGACCAAGAAGGTATAACCTTCTGTTTGATCGCAGTCTCCCTTAGCTTTATAATGTTATTTAGGCTTCGTCTTTACAACTTGCCCGGAGTGTCAGCGATACCTTATGGAACATACCTAGTCCTGCGCCCTCTGTCAAAGTATTGGTGACTTTTAGCATCGGACCATCGACTTGGTACATTCCCAGACGTTTCGCCGGAGTCATCAAAGAGAGGCACCAGCTTAGCAAAGAGTAACAAATTATCAAACAACTTGCCACGGAGAAATTGTAACTCTGTTAACGATGGCGCATCTTAATGATGATTCTGAATACGACGTAGGTGAAACGTTTGTGAATGTAGCAAGGCAATGGATCGATGCTGGAAATCACAAATACTATGGCAGAGAACACAAGACTAGATACGTTCCACAAGGTCTACCTGACGCTCCAAATAACTTTCAAAAACGCGGTCAAACTAACACTACAAAGTAAATAATCGTTAACGTGCAAATGCTGTCCAGAGAAATGTTATAATTGAACTCATATGTATGCAATGAATTTGTGGAGAATTTTAATCCACTCAATAAACATTGATAAAAGTAGGTTGACCTCGTTGTCGCAACTTGGTCTTGTTTGCAGAGAGACTATGTAGAACGCACCTAGTCCGAAGTCGTCTGCCATAGTAGTTGTCATGATTCCCAGCATCTGACAATACATTCTCAAACCTTTCGCCGGCATCGTAGTTGGCATTATCAGTGAGATTTGCCAGTCTACGCACCAAGATACGTATTTGTCAAAGAGACAAGTGAAGTTAATCCCTCGACAACGTTCTGCTAGAAACGGTTATACGATCACTCAGCTTTCTGTCACTGTCTATCTATCTACTCTTTACCCTCTTATCCCACTGCCGCCCTATCAAAATTTCTCACTTGTTTACATTCCAATCATCAAAAATGTGTATCTTTTTGTGGCAAACCGAGTGTGGCCTTATCACACATGCTATTTACCCCGACCACTCTCTTTCGATGGGCTTATCCAACTCTGGTCTCCAATCCGGATCCTTTCCTTGTCTCTTAATCCGTTCCTTATCTTTCTGGTTGACCGATTTCACTCAGGTTCAGTCCCTGTGTGCATTTCACTACTGGCGCTATTTCTCAAGGCCCTAGTACACTTCTGCTTCACTGAGCGGAGCTCAAAGACAATAAAAGTATCCGGATTGGAGGCCCGAGTGAGATAAGCCCATCGAAAGAGAGGCGTCGGGGTAAAAAGCAAGTGTGATGCGGCCACACTCGGTTTGC